ATATGCTGCAAAATGCAGTAGAACATTGAGTTATGTTCTATTTAAAGGTATTATTAAAAAAATCAGCCACGTTGGTAGTGCAAATTTGATGTTTTTTTAAGTGTGATGCAGCGCCTTGGTTAGAGTTTCAACAGTCTGATGCAAACAATGGAGTTCTTCCTCATCCAGATTAGCCATTCTGACCTGCGCCATTTCTCCACGCTGAGTCCGACATGCGGTTTTTGGACGTGCAGTGTGAGCAGTTTGATCGCATCAGAGCGCGGGGCCGCACAGTGGAAGAACATACATCGTGAGCTGTGAACTTTTAAACCCTGCGGTTTCGCCGCTCAGTTTGAGCCGTAGCTGCGTGCAACGATTGAAAATATCACAGAGTGTATGCCCGGCTTAAATATATTAGGTTAGCAGTATGTAAGGACCTGGGGAACACAGCAGCCCCACAGTAATCAGTGTGAGCTCACCCCAAGGTGACAAATTTTGCTTTGACATATTATTTAAAGTTAGGATTGCATTTTTATGTCATTTTCTAAGAACATTCAAAGTCAGGTNAGCACTGGGGGAAAAAGAAAAACCCGCTTAAACTTCTGTTCTCTCGAGTGCCATTTCTGAGCTCCGGTAACGATATTGAAGAAAATTTTAGATCCGATATAGGGTGGAGAAATAGGGCCAATCAATAGGGGCAGATGTGTTATTTATATATATATATATTTTTTATTGTTTTTTGTTTTTTTTGTCAGACAGATACAGAAAAGCATCCATTATCTTGTTACAGTAACATAGATCTGAAAAACATCTTGTGTGCAAATATCAGCAACTGTCCAGCTTTTCCTTATTTTTTCCCTACGCAAATAACAATAGAACAAGGCAATAATAGTAATTAAAAAAATCAGCCCAGCAACAATGCAAGAAGCCAGACCTACAACATATAACATAAATCACAAAACAAGACAACACTAAAACACCCTAGAAAGTCTATTATAGAAATCCTGTTCCTGTATCTAATAAAATCTAAGTAGAAGGAGACATCCTTACATGTCCAGCAATTGAGCTAGGAATTGGCCGCACACCTCATTGAATATGTCTTCCCTCTCAGCCACCCTATAGGTGACCCGTTCGTAGATGGCCATTGAACTTAGAACCTGTATCCACTCCTTAAACATGGACTGACTGGGAGATTTTTTTGTGGTGTAAAGTTATCCTGCACCCTGCTTTCATAGCTGAACAGCACCAAGATTTTTGATGTTTTGACATTTTATTGTTATCTGGAAGTAATCCCAACAGGCATAATGCAGGGTTTTTGACCAAATGTGTGCTCAACACCTTATTCACAAACAAAATTATTGCATTCCACATGTCTTTAGTTTTGTCACACTCATATAACATATGCACCAGAGTTCCAACCTTTCCATTATATCTCCAACATTAGTCACTGTTTCTGAGTTTTAGTCTTAAAAGTTTTGAAGAGGTCAGTAGGATCTATTTGATATCTTATAAAAAAAATTAGTTGAGATTGTGCTTCACGCGAATAATAGTGCCATGATGAACATAAGTTTTTCCAATTCAATTCCTGGAATCTCATGACCTAGATCCCAATCACAACATGCTTTAAGCCAAAAATAGATTTCGATGCATACAGCTTTTCAACAGTGAAAGGAACATTACCATTTATAAAGTGCAGCAGTGATCAGTATGTAAGCAGTGTAGGAGAAAGGGAAAACTAGTTTAAAGTCATGGGGCAAAAATGAATAAATATGCTGCAAAATGCAGTAGAACATTGAGTTATGTTCTATTTAAAGGTATTATTAAAAAAATCAGCCACGTTGGTAGTGCAAATATGATGTTTTCAAGTGTGATGCAGCGCCTTGGTTAGAGTTTCAACAGTCTGATGCAAACAATGGAGTTCTTCCTCATCCAGATTAGCCATTCTGACCTGCGCCATTTCTCCACGCTGAGTCCGACATGCGGTTTTTGGACGTGCAGTGTGAGCAGTTTGATCGCATCAGAGCGCGGGGCCACACAGTGGAAGAACATACATCGTGAGCTGTGAACTTTTAAACCCTGCGGTTTCGCCGCTCAGTTTGAGCCGTAGCTGCGTGCAACGATTGAAAATATCACAGAGTGTATGCCCGGCTTAAATATATTAGGTTAGCAGTATGTAAGGACCTGGGGAACACAGCAGCCCCACAGTAATCAGTGTGAGCTCACCCCAAGGTGACACATTTTGCTTTGACATATTATTTAAAGTTAGGATTGCATTTTTATGTCATTTTCTAAGAACATTCAAAGTCAGGTCATCATCTATGCAATCTTAATGAATGAAGTAATAGAATCTTATGGTTGCAACTTGTGATTGGTCCAACGTAGAAAACCTGAAATGTTCTTTCTAGATCTTCCATATCCACCAGAGAAGTACCAGAAAAGGTATGTGAAAAAAAAAAAAAGCTGTCACATGTGGACGCATACTGTATATATCCCATGCACCTTTTTCTTCCTTTGGCACATTCTTCTTCTTTGACTATTTGAGCTGATGTAACAAGTACATTTCTCCAATGTGAGATCAATAAAGTCAATCAATCAATCAATCAATCAATCAATGTGAAAGAGTTGAGTCTCCTCCATTAGTGTTTGGGTAGCGCTGATTGGTTGGTCTGGAATAACATCTCCCAAACGTCAGGAAGCAGACTCATGTCTGCTCCAGGAAGCTACATTGATTACATTGGAAGTGCTTTTATTGTGCTTCAGATCCACGCAATTAATGCCTTTGAAACACACATCTTCTGTGTGCCTAATGTAACAATGTGTCCCGTCCAATTGGCCTTTGTTTTAAAATGATGGTGGATTCCTTACTGTTGATCGAGTTCTGCCCAAGTTCATATGAGGCCACTGATTGGTTTTAGGAAAATTGTTCTGAGGTAAGAAGAGGCAAGGAGTTCTCCTGTGACCTGAAAAGAGGATTGCACTAATGGATTTACCCTTGAAGCTTCTTTCCGAAGGAATTAAAGCCTAAAGAATCTACCAATACTTCACTTTCATATTTTTATCTGCAATAAATATTGAAGTCTACAGGTTAAATAGTTTTAAAAAGTTTGTGGGGCCAAAGTCTTTGCTTTAATATCACATATGATTGATTCTCTTTCTTTCATAGCATCACATGCTTCAAATGTGATAGTTAATATCCTTTCACAAAGGTATTTACAACCCTTACATGTTGTCACAAAACTACAAACATCAGTGTGAGCTGAACAGAAAACAATGTATTTTTTTTATTTATTTATTTTTTTCAATAAAAAATGTGTTATGTGAATTTGTAAATAAAAATATATGGCAACCAATTGGCTTCAGAAATTATACATTTAGTACAACAAGTGAATGAGGCTGAGCAGAACGCTCCGATTCTGTACGAAGGTGCTACATAGAAATATTGGACTGGCGCAACAATTTGAGGGGAGTGTCTTGAAACAGACAGAAAGTGGGATGTGGCAGACATGCGGAAGGAGATGCTCTGGTCATGATAACTGATGGAAGGCAGCTAACATGACCCTTTACCCTTAATTAACCAAAATCATAAACGGCTGGCAGCTTCTTGCTGCAGGAGCATGGAAGCAGGTTGATGGATGCATTGATGGATGGATGAAAAAAAAAATGGAATCTGTACCATGTTCCCCTGGAGATAATGTTCGCCTTCCAGAAGGAAGACATTCATACCAAACATGCAAGCAGTGGTTTAGATCAAACCACCTTCATGTAGGAAAATGGCCCAGTCGAAATCTGGGAGTCGATCCGGTTGACAATCTGTAGTTAGACTTGAAAGAAGTAGTTTAATGGCTTCCCAGATGCACTTAGTTCAATCTGGATGAGCTTGTTCTGATATTTTAACTTATAAACCTGGAACCAGTTAAAATATTAGGAGTTTGTGTTTTTGAATCAGTATGGAAAAGTTCATTATGTGAAAAACTGTTTTACCAAAGAGTGCAACAATTTTCTGTTGTTGTAAGGCTCAACTTTTAGAGAAAAATAAATGTATATATATATATATATATATATATAGGAACTATGTTCCTATGACATCCATGTCACATGAGAAGCAGCATTAACCACACTCATGTAAATACCATAGAATATGTGTTTTTTCTATGGAATACAAAATCCTCAAAATCTGGTTATGAAAGCATCATGACTGAGGATTACCAGCAGTCACGATTCTGCTACCTCAACGTAAAAAAAAAGGTGTAGGTGTCTGTGGGTGTGTTCCTGCCTTGGCCTGACGCTGCAGTCCCTCCAGATGTCTGTGGCAGCGCAGACAGAGGCTGATGTGAATACTGATTCCCATCTACACGACTACGCCGGCTGCGCTAACCGCAGCTCTCCATTCAGGCGGCAGTGCTGCTGAGCGTCGTGCCGCGTAGTAGGGTGCATTTGAGGTGAACCACGGCAGAGAGGGAGAGGGGCGGGGGTGGGAGACGGTAGAGAAGTGCCGAGATTCGCAGAGAGAAAGAGTGCGAGAGAGAGCATCCCTAACTGCCGTGGATGCTATTTTTAACCGGGCTGTACTCCACGGTCCTGAGATGATCTCCCCCGCTCCTCGAATACAGACAAGACAATTCCCAGATCCACACATCGACTCACTTTTTTTTTTTTATGTAGAGTCACATAAACCAAGAAGGGAGGGTTGCTTTTCATGCTCTGTGTGTCTGCTCAGTGCTGAGAAAAAATATATATAGAAATGAATCTTTGAATGAATGAGAGGTGGTGCTTGGTGATATCAGCTTGGAAATCAAGGTCAGTTTTTGCCTCAGAAAGGGCTCTGCAATATTTCATCCTGTTTATCAGAGAGTGTGTTGGTAATAGAAACAGGAACCGGGTGTATTGCTGGGCGGGGGGGGTTTAGAGGAAGGTTTCGTCCTCTCAATAACAAGTTGTTTGTCTTGTCAGATATTGTGAAAGAGCTTCAAGCTTCTTTTTTTTATTTCATGTTTGTTTTTTCTTCTTTCACTTCCTTCCAGGCCGAGTCACTACTGGTGAGGAGAAAGGTCTGGAGAGGGAACGTGAGAGGAAGAGGAGGTGGAGGAGGAGGAGAAGACGAAGAATAGAGGGAGATAAGCCACGACAGGAAGCAAACACACACTGAGACGTCCACGCCGCTGGTTTATGTGCGTCTGTGTGTTTGTGTCAGACGGCGAGAGAGAGGCTGCGTGAGTTAGAGGGTGAACGGGAAAGGAAGGAAGAAAGGGAGGGAGAGTGACGCGGAGACTGGGAGAGCCGCCCCCCCCTCCTCCTCTTCTCCCTCTCTTTCTCCTCTCCTCCCCTCCCTCCCCTCCCTCTCTGGCTGTGCGGAGCAGGCGTGTAACGGCATCAGACTCGGCGTGAAGGAACCATGAGCGATGTCACCATCGTTAGAGAGGGATGGCTCCAGAAAAGGGGTGAGTACATCCAGATCCCCATCCGCTCCCCTCCTCTGCGCTTCTTGTCTCAGTCCTCCCGGTCTAGACCAGGGGCTTCGGCCGTGCCGGCCCACATGTACCGGCCGGGAGAATCTCATTCCTCGCCACTGACTGTGTGTGTGTGTGATCACATGGATTTCTGATCACCTAGTGTACCCTGCGTGTGTTTGCGTTAGTCATGTGTCTCTGTGCCGTAAGCCTGACTGACTGCTAGCTTGCTAAATCCCTATTTTATACAGTCAGATTATGTCTGAAAAGCTGGGAGAATGTGCATGCATGTGTGTGTGTTACTGTAGTAACATCCAACAGATCCCCGTGGTGACATTGCCGGCGTCGCAGTGTTGTGTCATGCTAGGGTGCTGCTGTGAAATCCAGTTGGTTCTGCCCTCTGAAGTGGGTTTTTCACCACGCAGCGTGTGAATCCAGGTAAGGGGATGTCCTGAACAGCGCCGCTGACGGTCTTATGACACGGGGCGGCGGGAGCAGTTAAAGTGTAGAAAGGACTGTGACAACACATCCTGTTTACAAACCAAACGAGCGAAAGACAGTGTAACGGTCAGGAATGGTACTTCCCTGTTCTCAGACGTTCCCATGATGGTTGCAACAGGTGAATCTGATCCAGAATCAGCTGAAATATGTAAATGTTAACTGTGTGATGTCAGCATCACCACCCGAAGATGTATTTTTATTTGTTGCTTTTTATAGCGTAAAAAAGCATGTGTGTGTTGGTTTGTGTGTCCGTAGATGGTGGCGATCCCTCCAGCCTCGGATCTGGCTGTATGTGATTAAATATGTGTGTGTTGGGGAATGGGGGGATTTCCAGTCTTTTAGGCCAATGAACATCATCCACTTCACTCTGTGATGGTGTCTAGGAATGTGCAGCAGGAGCTGCCAAGCAGGAAGTGACATGGAAACACAACAGACAGCGGGTTTCTGGGTAATGTAGGCTCGCTCCAGGAGCACTCCAGGTGAACACGCTGCTCCTCGCCTTACAGGAGGATGCTCTCTCACTGAAGCAGCAAGCATACACACTAGTAGAGCGTGCAGTCTGTAAGCGCCGGCGGGGGGGTTTGTCTGCCGACGTACCAGTGGGATCCTGAGTTGTCTGTGCATATTAAGAGGACAGAATCGCCCTCAGTCACGACTCTGTGATGCTGGTGTGAGGGAGAGGTAGGGCAGGGAAGGAGGAGGAGCCTGTTTAGTGTCAGGAATATGAATGTTTGTCTGCGTCCCATGATAAATCTTTGTCTGTAGCTGAGTGTGGGGAGAATTGCAGGGTCAGAGTGCTGACTCACTGTCCGGGTCGTGATACAGCAAAGACTGCAGTCTTAGTCATTAGACAGACGAGTACCTAAACCAGAGAAGCTGTGCATCTTCCATGCATGGCAGGTTCTCCAGGATTGAATCTGTGACACTTTCTGCTTAAGTAAATGAAACTAAGAGGTTAAATGATGACTTCCATGTCTATCCCTCTAAGGTCAGGAACCTCCAGATATTAAATTGAGTTTGTGTATTGCTTGCATTCTATTTATTAGCTGATTACTGGAAAGGGGCCAGTATGATCACAGGGTTATAAAAAAGTACAATGATTTCATTGTGATAACACAAAGAATTAAAATGAAAAGTAACAGTCATTTCAACTGCTGTTTAAATATAAAATGTTTTATTTCTAATAATGTAGACCTATTATTATCATAAAGAGACATAACACCTAACTAAATTCATTATCAGTCTATAAGTTGGTTCCACTCTTTAGAGATTAGCTGATATTAGAATCATGGGATCTTCATTCGAGCAGCTAGCCTGAAGCCTGCTGCTTACATCGACCCTTTTTAGCAAGCTGACCAGTAGTGTGCAGCATGTTATATGAAATGAAACTGATTATGATATTTTGTTGTTCTAGCATGATATCAATAAAGGAAACTGTAGGCACAATGATAATGCCGTCATCAATAAGAAATACTGCATTTAGAATAGGCTTCTTCAGGACAGAGACATAAAGAAATGGGATTTTAATCACTTAACTGCACACTTTAGGCACATTAAAATGCATTGATCTGTGTTCTGACACAGCAGTGAAAAAAAAAAAAGTCAATATTAATCTGTCATTTCAGCAATTTTAGATCTTTATTTACTATGTGACAATTAATCTATATTATGATTAAAGAAATGTCTTGATAATGATGAATACAATAAACAGTTTTTATAGAAATGGACTGAATACATCTACCCCTAGTTATCAGGCCCATTTTTACCAATACCCAATCTAGAATTTTCTTCAATATTGGGACCCATACAGATTTTTAATATTTGATAAGTGCATCACTGAAAACTTTTCAAATCTGGACATACCTTGATACCGTCAACCGGCCCAACCCAATTTGTTCATCAGCGGAAAAGGTTTATTTCTTATTCAGTTCAATTCAGTTTATTTCTATAGTGCCAATTCACAACACAAGTCATCTCAAGACACTTTACAGTTCACCAGATCATACAGTCAAACTAATTCAAAGTTTTCTATCTAAGGAAAACTAGTTGATTGCATCGACTCATTGACTCAAATGCAATCCCTCACACTAATCATGCTTGTAGCGACAGTGGAAAGGAAAGACTTCCTTTTAACAGGAAGAAACCTCCAACAGAACCAGGCCCAGTGTGCGTGGCCATGTGCTGAGGCTGACTGGGGTTCAAGGAGACAGAAGCAGAGATACAAAAAGCACACAGTCAGGCAGACGAGCTCCGAGCCAGCTCCCATGTCAGAGGATGAGGAGAGCACATCCAGGCAGTCTAGGTCAGAGAAACAGGACTACACTGGAAAAACAGGCCGATCTCCAACATCTATAAACAAAGGTGTTGATGGGAGCAGCACAGCTGGTATTTCTTTCCAGGGTTATGTAATTTGTTTTGTTTGATTCTATAACAGTTATTATTATAAATAGAGAAATTAAATTAATCTTCTTCCTGTTGTTTGGGTCTGCTGATCGCTGGCAGGTGTTAACTGTATGTTTTCAATATTATACAGGCGTGTTACCAGGAAGCTATTTTCTTACGAAGAAGTTTAGATTTTTATTTTTTTTATTGTTATTTAATCATACCAAAACTTTTAACTTTTACATTTTTGGTATATAAATAGTAATAAAAAAAAATACTTTTCTTATATACACATTGAGTGAAGTTCTGTAAAAATGGCAATTATGATGCTTTTTATTTAGAGGTGCCAGGACGTTCAAGGATGCTCGACAGCTAAAAGCAAACATGCGGTAAAATTAAACACTACAGAAGAACATGAATAAGAAAAATATGCATTAGGATAAGTTAAGAAGGGGGAGGTACTCTAAAGAGATGGGGCCTAAGGTTTGAACATAAAGAGATGGGGCTTAAGGTTTGAACATGAACATGAGAGGTAGATGGCGTTTGGTAAAGTGGTGAATTCCTGAGTTGAGGTGCAGAACAACTGAAGGTCCTGAACCTTGTAGTGGTGGAAAGGCAGGCAGGAGGAACAGGGAGGAAGAGTGATGATCTGAAAACAATTAAAAAAATACTTTTCATAATAGCAGGTTGCAGGTAAATGGCACAAAACAAAAACAAAAAAAGGCTCAAATTGATTTTAGACTGAAAACCTTTGATTGGTGCCTTTTTTAATAAGGGTCTCTAACGGATATAGTAAGCATTATTTTTTTTAAATACGTGTTGTTTACTCTGCAGCCCTTCTGCATTGCTTTGTTCTTGGTAATAGACATAATTTATTATTCTTTTGAAAGAAAAGTTCACATCAGGGATGTGGAAGACTCTAAACGGTCATGAAGTCATGGGAAACCTTTGCATGTTTTATGATGGAACTGATTTGGAGAAATGGAGCTTTTGTTTGACAAACTACCGTTATAAAAACTAATCAAACATTACACAACTTTCCCGCTCATAAATTTAGACGTAACGGACGAGTGATCAACTGTAGTGATGCTTAAATACAAAAATCAGCCATGACGTTTTTTTCTGTTTTGTTTTTCTTATCAACTAGACGTATGATGCAGCAGAAGTAAACCCTGCAGCAGAAGTACTGATGGAAATTACTCATTTTATTCATCTATAGAGAAATGAATCCTTCCAGAATATTTACACAAATCTCTGGGACATGTTTTCCACCAAATACAGTATATCCTTTAATGACCCTGTCTTTGTTTACACACTGACATGACTAGGGTTTCCTTCCTCCTTTCACTGAATCAGGGTGTGGAGTGCAACCAGCTGCATCATTTCTTTGTGTAAGGAAATCATGCAAGCTGTGCAATCCTAGCACCTCTTACGAAGTATACATCGAGGACAGCTTAAAATGTGATCTTTTAGTTAAAGCAAACACTTACTGACCACTTCAATTCGAGAAGTCCCCTGTTTTTGAGGAATGACATTTGGGAGGAATTGCTTGTGTTTCCCTTCTCGGTCAACAGCAGGAACAGCCTTTATAATTTCTGCTACTGCCAGGGCTTTATCTTATTTCAACCCATGTGAGGCTACAGGGGTCACTCTGAGCCACTGCCCTGGTGGATACTGTTACCTTCAGCAGCATCAGCACACACAGCAGTCAGTATAGCAGATGGTCAGGAGGGAGGGGACACACAAGGAGAACCGCATCTTCTTTTCTTGGACACACCTCATTGTTCTCCAGGATTTTTCATTTTTTTTAAGCAAAGATACAGAAAATAAAAGCTGCTGTATGTCAAAGTGAAGAGAGCCTTGTTGCAGATTTTTAACAGATCGCACATCAGACTTTAGAGTGTTATCAGCATACACTGTTAAGACTTAAACATGGTGTGTTTATATAGTTGAAATAAAAAGATATATATATATATACTGATGCGTGCGCAGTGCCATTTAAGCTATCTCTAAATCCTGGTAACCAGCACACATTTCCTGTTGGATCTTGTATATAAAATCTATGATCTCAGTAGAACTCAGTTATACCTGTTATTTACCACCTAAAT